GGTTGTATTTGTGACTTCAAATAAACTATAGATACAGCTTACTGTTGATAAATCTAATGATACTTCACACAAAAAGAGTTTAGACCATAAAAGTATTTTTTACTTAATCAGTCTATGGCTTCATTTTTGTGTTCAGTTAGTTAATCATGGTTACTCGATAGAAAAAGACAATTTTCCCCTAATGCATATTCATCAATTCATCGATTGTTTAAAACATAACTAAATCAAATGAAAACGTTTTATGCAAGGCAAACTACAGAGTCACAAAATATACAAAATACATTGAGTATTCAATTCGCCAATCAGCTAAATACATGCCTAATGTACAACTTTAACTATACCTAAAACTAATTTTCTGGGGGGGGTTGTCTTTTTTTCCAGAGTTTTAAGTTGTTTTGTTACTGAGGATCAGTATGAATTTGGATTTTCCTAAAATTTCTAAAGCGATATTAAGATAGTAGAGAAGATTTGTTGCTCAGATGGATACAAAGCGGTATCTAGTTTGATTCTTTTTAAAATTATTAATGTAGATTAGTATAGATGATAGATTAAGCCTTTTAAAAAAAATATAATATGCATTCAAATTAATTTGCATTAATACTTCTTTTTTAAAAAAAGGATCGGTTCGGGTAAAATAAAGGGTTTAGTTTTACAACGATAAACAATCATTACAAGATATTATCAGTCAATTATATCTGCAAGTTAATATCGTATCATTTAAAAGAGAAAGGATTGTACATGTTAAATGATTAATGAATGAATCTAGTTTTTAATGATTAAATTATGAAATTAATAATTTATTGTTAGAAATAATTCATTTAGACTTAAAAGATTTGATTGTTTAATGATACACTTTCATTTATACCTACAATCGCTTTGAATTTAACCATAATAATGTAATAGGATATAATTCACTTGGTATTATTTGGCTTGTATCTTCCCATTGAGGTTTAAGACTGCAAATGATCAGTCTGTTATTGGCATATGTGCATACTGTGCATATGCCTCGATATTACGTTAATTCACATGCTGTTTGTAAGCTGAGTGGATAACGCGATGGCGTTTGAAGAGAATGTTACTGGGTTCGAGTCCCAGAGTGAACATCAACTCTGAGATGCAGGTACATCCAGCTGACGAGTCCCAGATAGAACGAAACACGCGTCCTGGAGTCCACTGGTAGGATATAATTGTTCATAAATATTTATGAAGATAAATAATATTCTTAGGTTACTTATTATTATGTACTTTAAATTAATAATTTAATTTGATTACTTACTTACGCCTGTTACTCCCAATGGAGCATAGGCCGCCGACCAGCATTCTCCAACACATTCTGTCCTGGGCCTTCTTTTCTAGTTCCATCCAATTCTTGTTCATTTTTCTCATGTCTATCTCCATTTCTCGGCGTAATGTGTTCTTTGGTCTTCCTCTTTTCCTTTATTATTATTATTATTATTAGCTTTATTCAATATTATATTATTGGTACAATATAGAATTCTCAGCACAAAGTATTTCAACAAGTTTCCGTTTCTTTCTTCTTGGTCGGTCCTCGCGATAAATACTGAGTGATCGCCAGCTAGATGTTAACAGTCCAGTAAATGAATATCTGAATAATGTACATTCTTTTCGTTGTATATTGCCAGCAACAATATTCTCTCTTTTTGAGCTTTTTGTAACTTTGACAACGAAAGGTTGTACACTTTTCAGAAACGCAGCGGAATAGGTTGTGCGATTAATAGACATAATGATATATTAAAACAAACAAAGATAGATAACTTGTCGAAATATCTAGATGGCAGGAACAGGTAGCCCAGACGCTCAAGGAGGCCGCCTTGAGGATTCCAAGTGAGGGCTTGTCTTGTGACGCAGTTGAGTCCTTTCCTCAATGTGTGTCGTATCCACTTCCAGCGCCTCTTCCTGATTTCTTCCTCCACTGGGATCTGGTTTGTTCTCTCCCACAGTACGTTGTTGCTAATAGTGTCCGGCCAATGGATCTGAAGTATTTTATGTAGACAGCTGTTAATAAACACCTGTATTTTCTGGATGATGGCTTTCGTAGTTCTCCAGGTTTCTGCCCCATACAGTAAAACTGTCTTGACATTTGTATTGAAAATCCTGACCTTGGTGTTGGTTGACAGTTGCTTTGAGTTCCAGATGTTCCTCAGTTGTAAATATGCTGCTCTTGCTTTGCCGATCCGCGCCTTCACATCTGCATCATATCCACCGTGTTCATCAATGATGCTGCCCAAATACGTAAAGGTTTTTACATCTTGCAAATCTTCTCCGTCAATTGTGACTGGATTGGTGCATTCTGTGTTGTATCAGAGAATCCTGCTTTTCCCTTTGTGTATATTGAGACCTACTGCTGCTGAGGCTGCTGCTACACTGTTCGTCTTCTCCTGCATCTGTTGTTGCGTTTGGCATAGAAGGGCCAGATAATCTGCGAAGTCTAGATCATCCAACTACATCTTAGATGTCCATTGTATCCCGCGCTTTCCTTCAGACGTTGACGTCTTCATAATCCAGTCGATCACCAGGAGAAAGAGAAAGGGTGAGAGTAAGCAACCTTTTCTAACACCGGTCTTAATTTAATTTGATTATGAATTCGAATTTAATTACGCCTGTTACTCCTAATGGAGCATAGGCTGCTGACCCACTCTGTTCTGGGCCTTCCTTTCTAGTTCTATTCAATTGTTTTTCATTCTTATCATGTTTGTCTCTATTTTTCGGCGTAATGTTTTCTTTGGTTTTCCTCTTCTCCTCCTTTGGCCTCGAGGATTCCATATGAGGGCTTGCCTCGTGACGCAGTTGAGTGCTTTCCTCAATGTGTCCTATCCACTTCCAGCGCTTCTTCCTGATTCATTCCTCCACTGGGATCTGATTTGTTCTCCCCCACAGTAGGTTGTTGCTATTAGTGTCTGGCCAACGGATCCGAAGTATTTTGCGTCAACAACTGTTAATAAACACTTGTATCTTCCGGATGATGATGATGGCTTTCATAGTTTTCCAAGTTTCCACCTCATACAGTAGAACTGTGTTGACATTTGCATTGGACATTCTGACCTTGATGTTGGTTGAGAGTTGTTTTGAGTTCCGAATGTTCCTCAGTTTTAGATATGCTGTTCGTACTTTACCGATCCGCGTCTTCACATCTGCATCATATCCCCTGTGTTCATCAATGATGTTGCGCAGATATGTAAAAATGTTTACATCTTCCAAATCTTTTCCGTCAAGTGTGATTTAATTGGTGCATGTTGTGTTGTGTTGTATCGGAGCAACTTGTTTTTCCTTTTGTGTTTGTTGAGACATACGAATTAGAGTTTAGTTTTGTGAAAACCAGTGCAGGAATTGGTATTTATAAAATTACGATTTCATGATGTAAAGCATGTTGGTTAAACCACTTGAATATTGAATAAAGGAAAAAATGAATGTCTTAACAGAATAACATGAATTCATTCATTTTGTGAATTCCTCTCAATTTGTTTACAAGTTTACATGTACATGCCATAGTACATACGTCAAAAGAACAGAAAGTTGGGTTTGTGTCCACATCTCCGAAACTATTTCACGAATGTTGAGGCTTGACGAACAGAAGATTTTCAACAGTGCAATTGCTTGTCATTTGCTTGACAGTGGTCATGATGTTGAGGTTGGACGTTTTTCAAATAATCAATAACCAATGAGAATTCGAAATTACTACGCTTTGAGGAAGCGGTTCTTATACAATTTTTAATCTGATTCATGCATCCGACAAGAAACAGTCCTAAATCTTGTTTTACCCTAGTGACTTCATTTTTGTGAAATCATTAGGCAAGGTATTTTCCCATAAACTTTGATTTAAATTTCGAATAACATATTTCTGGCTTCTGGGCATTATTCAAATGGTCTGTATTATCAGTATAGGGTTCCAGGAATCGTTCGGTTGTGATCGAAGTCACAAACCAATTAATGTTAAACCACCATCGAAAATTTGGAAGTATTAGACGGCCGTTTCATCTTAGTGCAAGTCTCCTTATCAGTGTGCATCCACGATTCCACATGCGGGACTCGAACTCAGAACTTTCAATTTCGTGTACGAACGCTTAACTGCTTAATGCTCAACCTCTAGACTATTTTACATAAACTGTCTTCTGTTTCAAAAATCTTGTGTCCATACTTTTCTAGAATATTCATATATTTAATCTCTAAATAATCGAACTTTTTAACAATGTTAATTCTTCCGTATTATTATAACTTTAATCGACTCATGAATTCAACTACTAAATTACTATAATCTCCACAAAACCCTTTTCCGAGAACAACTATCTTTTCTTGGATTTCAAGAAGTTGAAGAGAATGAGTTCATGTGACTCTGTTAAGATATTCACTTTTTCTTTATTTAAGATTCAAATGATTTAACCAACATGTACATTATGGACTCATTGATTTATAACATAAACACAAGTTCTTGCATTGTTTTTCATAGAATAAAAGTCGTATGCAAATCAACATGATTCACAAACTTAAATTACTATTAAAAATCGTAAGAACTGTTTGACCTTTTAATCTTGTTAAGTTTCAGCCCCAATTACATCAGCTTATTTAATTGAGCTGTTTTACTAATATTCCGTTGCTCCCCAAGCTCACTAAATGATTTTGATCTGTATTCATTAAATGGAGTAGTGTTTCCATGGTAAAAATACTCAACTTTTAATTGTAATGGAATGTTACTTAGAGCTTAGCATACAAATCTATTTTGCATAACTAAATGAACCCTTTTGAAAAAGTAATAGATTTTTAACAAATGTCAGTTATACACTAAAGATTGTATTTTCTTATTATTCGTTCTCTAATTTTGTATTTTCCAAACAGGATAATACAATACTCATTAGAATTCTTTTAGGATATACTTTCTACACCTTTTCAGACACATATATTTGTTCTTGAGTACGTTTCTTCTCATTCAAGTGGTAATGATTGAATTAATTTTGATCTATTTACATAAACAAAGAAACCTTTTACAATAGTCATGTTTCTATTTCAAAACATTATAACAAGCAGAACTTATTGTAAAGAATTTTAGTAGAAAAAAAGAGAACAGTTTTTTTATTTTTTAAGACAAAATTTTTTTTATTGTGATTATTGATGAAATTTTATATTTCCATGGAAAATGTAAACAAGTTTGAAATGTTGACAATCCATTGTTTTTTCAATGTTTCAAGTAATTTGATGATTATAACCCATCGTACACATTTGATCAAACATAAAATCCTAGAGTAAAGAAGAAGAAGAAGAAATAAAGCAGGAAATAATGGAATTGAATTAAGCAACAATAAATTCAGAAACATTGAAGAAATGTCTGTTCTAAATGTGCAGTTGAAATCAGTAATTTTATTGTTGTCAAAAGCCTACATGAATTAAGTAGTGATGATATTATCTAAGATGATAATGAAAACTCAAGAAATTTAAGAATACCAAAAGTGTATTTAATATTCTTTGGTCTAAATATCTTATTACGATAATAAACCATTAAAGCAATTAGTCCCTTTTATAAATTTCGATAGAACAATGAGAAGACGAAGTTGATCTGAAAAATGTGATGTACATTTCGAAGAATCATATAAAATGCTCTGACAAGTATATGTGTGATCAAATTGTTCGAAATGCGTCGCACAAATACATCACATTTTTCAAATCAACTCCATCTTCTCATTGTTCTATCAAAATAAACCATTAGCAAATTTGATCGACATAATAATCATTCAGTTTCTAAGTAGTTGACGATAAATCACTTAGTCTAAATCAAGAATTGATTGATCCGAGGATGAGGCTTCTGAAACAAATTATGATCTATAGAAGCCTTAAATTATAATCATTTATAAATCATTAAATATACTGAAATAGATTCAATCTACCAAATAATCGGAAAAATGAAAGTCAGAGAATATAGCAGTTAGACAACAAATGAATACGATGACAGTGTAATCATTAGCAACAATTAACTAATTTCTCTATCGACAAAACACGAGTTTAACCATGTCTGTAAAAAGTATAGTGGCTTACTGCTTTTCGAAGTAGTCACCTATAATATTATTAAAGGAGAAATCATTTCTATTATTTTCCCTGCAAATACTTTGTTAGTCGAAATAGTTATGGCACAAATATATCCTCCCTTCTCAGATCGAAACGATTTTCTCGTTACAATTTATACAAGTGACTGATCACTTTAAGAGTTTCCTGTCGCACATGTCATTTCAAATTGAAAAAATAATATTATCAGAAAGATCAATTTGAACGGTAACCACAATCTGGATTCTCACATTAAACAAATTAAATCTCAAGGGTTTCGTGTTTTCGTAGCAAGACGGTTTATCTGTGAGGCTTTAAAGTGTGTGCTGATGATGATTTATATAGGGACATTAAAAGCTTTACAATTAAACCATCCAGCTTAGAGAATACAAAACCTCCAAAATCATCGTCCTAAACTATAAGTATTTTCTATGATCTCGGTAAATTAAATCTTTAATCTGTGAAACATCAAGTTAATCATTTACCAGTATAATTTTTTTTATAAACTTACTTTAACCATAATAAGAATAAAATGATTGATCAATTTTACGATTTTTTTTCTCGATAGTATCTTGATAAAACGGTGCTCTGTATGGTCGTAAATATGCACTGGGATATAAGAATCTTGGTCGACTTGACCATAAACGTTCATATTCTGGTGAATAACTGTCAGGTAATTCCATTATTTCATTGTTTGTGCGCATACTCAGTGTACTGTTTACTAGTAAAACTAGAAAATAATCATAGAAAAATAACTCGTTATTGATTTATTGTGTATGGAAACTATTAAATTTAAAGAGCACATTATGTATTTACATGTTATACAAAATAAAATCTAGAAAAACGTTTATTTATTATATCGAATATCATGATCATTAACAAGTCGTAACGATTTGTTCTTGTCAATAGTTATTTAAGTAAACAACCCCCCCTTTAAGACATTAAATAAGAAGGATTGATTCAGCAAAGTGTTCTCTTTTCGGCGAATTCATTTTCAAAGCTGTACAATCCCAAATACATTTACTTGTATTTTCAAGATGATAATAATTACAATAATAATGATAATAAACTTCTGTTACATGATGACAGTGAGGTAGAATAAACAAAGGTATTAAATTTTTTTAAACTGGGAAACTAATAATCATTTGATTGTTAATGGTTTAAATATTTCACAGGTTGAAATCATGAGTCGATTGAAGCTAGATCACCATGGAAAACCTGGGAGCATTGGACGGCCGTTTCGTCCTAGTATGGGACTCCTCAGCAGTGCGCATCCACGATCCCGCACCACGCAGGGATCGAAACCAGGACCTACTGGCTTTGCGCGCGAGCACTTAACCACTAGACAGATAGAAAGAGAAATTATCATTGGGAGATGGTGGCTCAGCATGATAAGATAAAATGTTGAAACTGTGATTAAATGTAATCAACAGGATCGTAGAATTCTAAATAAACCAGTTGGGGATAGAAAATGTATAGAGGAGATGAAAAGGGAAGCAGAGTATGAAGAAAAATAATAATAAGACATTAAGATCGTGGTAGAAGAAGAGGTTAGACCAATCTCTTTTAGATACACAATTCTGGTTTTTCTAGATGTACGGCTATCGCTTCGGCAATTCTAAAAAGATGCAATCTAATTGTCTTTGGAAGACTTCAATAATCAAACAGCTTATGAACACAGGTCACTCAATCAAGACAGATTCTGCGCTCAAAGTCATCTACAAGGTAAGCCTGTTACTATTAAGAAATAGATCGGTTATGAAAATGTGATATTATTTGAATAACAGTTACAAATCGACTTTTGTTGGAAACTAAAGATATGTAATTCATGTTTTATAAATCATATTGTCAAAACTTAATACTTTGTAAATATTAATTTGGTTTATAATATTCATTTACTAAGCTTGATATAATGAATAGAAACAGACATCGAGTCAACATATTCTTCTATTATTAAGTCGTCTATCTATTGACTTTTAGAGATGATATTTTGCTTCTAAATGCTTTGTCTTAGTTATACACTTATGTTAATCTGCACTTATAAGTGATGTCCATATGATTGTATTCAGAAGAAATAGGCCATTGAAAAATATTTCATAAATTCATCGGGATCTACATTAACTTTGTAAAATCGAATATAAAATATTACGTCAATGTTTAGATGACACATAATTTATTTCTTAAACAACTTAGGTTCATTGTACAAGGATATGTACTAACTAACTGAGGTTGTAATATGTTATACATCCGCAAATACAGTCCATGCAGAATTATCTGCTAAAGTCGAATTAAGCTTAGAAAATAGTAATCAATATAAAAAAGGTTATGAAGTGGTGGTGAAGTTATTATGTGATTGGGTAGTCACTCAACATGATAAAAAAAACAAAAATGTAAATAGTTGAAGTCATTCGTCACTCTAAGCTAGACAACCATTAAAAATCTAGAAGCACTGGATGGCCGTTTTGTCCTAGTATGTGACTCCTCGACAGTCATATTCGCGATCCCGCCCGTCTGGATTCGAGCCCAGGACCAGGTGGGATCGTGGATGCTCACTGCTGAGGAGTCCCACAATGAAACGAAACGACCATTCAGTGCTTCCAGGTTTTCCATAATGGTCCAGTTTCAATTGACTCATGATCTGAGCCATTGAAAGATTTGTTAGCAGTTAGAATAATAAGTATAATTTTCGCTTGTATGCAGTTGATGAGAAACAGTGAAAAAGAATAAATGCATTTTGTTCTCCAAACACCGTTATTCTTACTTTATTGAGATTGTTTTCTGTTTCTTCTGAATTGTTATATTTACTCGTTGTTTGAAAAATAATCTAAGTATACAAAGCTCTAATGTGATTAAGTTGTTCGTATTACATCAACCATTTTACTATTTATCACGTTCAGTTCGTTTTATTGTACAAATGTGAAATATGCTTTCTTGAGTGTTATACACAAATGTGAGTTAGATTTAACATTTTTCTCATTTTGTATTGTTTTCTTTCTGAAAAAATCTTTCTGTTGATGTTTACAACTGTAATTGATCAGTCTTTTATTGGCATATATACATCTCGTGCGTATTGCCTCAATACTACCTTAAGTCAGCTGACAAATTTCCAAGTAAGACAAATCGCGCGTAAAACTGGATCCCATTACTAGCCGTCATCGATCTTTATTCATAATATTAGTTAGTTTATTTAATTAAATCTTATCGTTTTAATAATTCTTTCAGTTTAATGCTGTTACCTACTACTAGTTCGATGTTACAGTGAAAAAAAAATAATCTAAATCTAAATGACAATGAATTGTTCATAATTAATCTAAATTTGTCTTGTTACATTAGTCTTTTTATAATTACTTCACAATGATAAATAATTTTCATTTGATTTCAATGTAAAATCAAAATAGTAATCTCTTAAATTGAGTCTATTTTATAAGTTCCTTTTGTAAAATTAAAACATACAATACAGTTAACTGGTCTTTAAAAAAATAATAAAATTCTGAAATATAACGGTAATAATAATAATAATATTGTTGTAGTAGATTAGGCATTTCGATTCTCTTACGAGAATACCTGTGGTTACCGGTTATGGAAATTACTAATAAGTGTTTAGTAAACATGATATATATATATATATGTTTCAGTTTTTCAATTTCCGACATATAACGTTGACAAAAATCATTGTATGATTTGTCAATCATTGAAACTAATAATAATTTAAAAGGTTTCAACATCATTTCTATCAAAATAAACTTGAATGTGTTTTTTTGTGTGTGTTGTACATTTATTTACTTCTTTAGTGATGTAGGAACAGAGGGCGGAGGCGGGGGGGGGGAACAAGAGAAAATGAGGAACTTTTGTAATGATTTTTTTTAACAAAAAATTTGTTTATTATTTTCTTTTTCTTGCAAAAATTACATTCACAAGTAACCGTAGGGAGAAAAAACATTCTGAAAATGGTAATAAAGGAATATGTTTTAAATTCTTGAAAATAGGTTTGAAGTTATATTATTATTATTATTATTTTAGAAAGGAATGGTTAATAATTGGAAGCAAATAGTATTATGGAACTCTAAGACCTATTGTGGTGTGTGCAATCTATGTCGACAGAGATAAGTAGTGTGCAACACCAGTAGAAAGTGGAATCTCAAGCAGCAGAAAGTTAAGACGTTCAAATAGAAAAGAATGGAAACAGAAAGTGGTTGGTATGAAAACGATGTAACAATCAAGTTTGAAATAATTGATGAACATTATGTAAATGAAGTATTGAACATATGTTATTCATATTTTTTACAAATGATTATGTAATTTTGCACTCATATAAATTTGATTGTGTCTATTTGTGTTCGCACTCACAACACTATGCTTTCATGTTTAATAATACCTGCTTGTAGGGCAAACAGGGACTGGATATCATCAGACTTATTCAAGTTATTTAACTTACAATAAAGTACACCGTAATATTGAATTATTTCTACTATTAACTAGATGGAATTCAGCAAATTCTTAGTATTAAACAAAATGATATTGGTTACTATTGCTAAACGTTTATTTTATGTAAAAATTATATTCAATAAACATATTGTAAAGCTTCAGATATTAATTCAAATGAAAGATTGAAAATAAATGGTCGATTTGAAGCAAACACTTTCATTTTGGAAGTAATTAATATGAGGAGGAGATACAACTCAAATTAGATTTTAAGTGGATTCATCTTTGGTGGAGTAGGTAGCAGTCCACCTAAAGTTTGTGCTGCTGATGTCGTTCAGAAGAACGATGAAAGCTCCACGACCAAATCACCGAACTCAGAGAACAAAACTCCACCCAAATCATCCACCTGAGCTAGAAATCTTCTCCATCATCTCGGATTCATCTTTCGTTTCGTTTTCAATTTAATCTTCTGTATACTATATATTTCTGTTAATTTACAGTCATATTCATTCAATATAACATACGGCGTTCGTTTTGTAGTAGTTCAAGGGAAAAACCCAAATGAAGTTTCCTCCATTTTAGTTGCGCATTGTGCTTATTAATTTATTATTAGATACTATACAGAATAGGTAGTTTTTTATTACGATTATCCATTAAAATAACGAATAAGTTTCAAAACATTACTTAAATGGATTTAAGTAGTTTACTAAGGAAATAAATTTCAACGGAACCTCATATATATATTTCATAGCTGTACGGTAAATGTACTATGTTGCACACTGACTAATTGCGGACCAATCCTAATGCCTATTGCCAACGACTGTTGAACAACAGACGAGTTTAATTATTTACCGATTTGTTCATATCAGTGTGCTAAACATTTGTTTGTATAATCAAATACATCTATTTTTGTGTATTTAATGATGAATATAAAATGTTATGATGTAATTATTTACATTCTGTTCGAGTAGTAGCAAACTGTAGTGGATTTCTACATCTATAAGACTACAATACTGGGAACTCGTGCTCTATAAATTATAACTTGAAAACACTCATTAACTTGTATTGAATAATAAAGAGATTTATTTGAGAATACACTTGGAATAAATTTATTAAAAAGTTATTTATTCATGTCTCAAATACGCAGTCTTAAGCGTTTTCAAAACCGTGCAAATTTATTTTTTATGAAACGTTGTCATAATTCAGTAGACAGACTCCATAAGGGGTAACATTAGTACGTAAATAAGGTTGATATAATGTTTATTGATTGGTACTACAGTTTTGTCAAAACACCAACCATTTTCTAATTAGATCATGCAGAATAAGTATCAGTATTACCTTTATATATATATATATATATATATATATATATATATATATATATATATATATATATGCATACCGCAAGCTGTCTGAAATAACAAAAAATATCGATGTTCCAACCTAATGACTCGGATCTGTGATACTCTATATGGAGTGTGAATATTTGTGATTGAATCCTATGTAAGATAGTGAATAGAATTTATTGAAATATCTCTAATAAGAAAAAAATTTACGAAGTAGTTCTTTAAGTTTAAACCGTTTACTAACTACTAACATAGTAACCTTAGAATACATGCATACATATATAGGGACATTTTAGTTTTCTCTTTAATGAATCCTAATAAATATTAATCCTTAATGTACTACTCCTTTATTTGTGGTAGATATACATTGATATGATACAACTAAACTAAATTTTACATTTAATTTCTTAAAAAGAAAAAAAATTAATTCAACTAATTTATTCGTTTAGCTTAAAAGTAAATTATAATCACAATAAAAATATGAGAGTATAGTGATTATTTTCCTTTTTAATGGTTTTCTTTTTTGTTGTTGTTGTTGTTGATTGTTTCCCCTTTCCACTCAATATATGTTACAAATATAGAATATAGAAATACACAAAGAATATAGAACAGAAAAATCTACACTTTAGCATTATATATATATATATATATATATATATATATATATGGATAACTTACTAAGACAAATGAGCAGTGCAATACATGTGAAAGTCACCGATTTATTTATTCTGAACATCGTTGGGTTCTGATAGAAATCTATAACGGAGTAAAAATAAAAATAATAGTTATTAATTAATGGCTTTATTCATTATGATATTTTGGCACAATATAGAAATTCTCAGCACAGGGTATTTCAACAAGGACAGGGTTGGATCGAGAATGCTGGTGAGTGGCCTATGCTCCTTTACGAGGAGTAACGGGCGTAAGTAAAATAAAGTAAGTAAGGTATTATAAAACTCTTATACTTTTGCTTGCATGCATGGATTTTAATGTAATTACATCTCGTTCTACCAGAAGATATACAAGGAGAAAGATAAGAGTGAAGGGGATGGTTATCATCTGATAAAATATCGCCTGCCAGGAGTTTGCATGACTTTAGACATCTATCAACAACCACATTAGTTATGACCTCGAACGATTCACCACACACCTTGCTAACTGCCTCAGCACTCTTCGCAATACAGTAAAGTCTTTTCTCAAAAGCCCGGGAAAGAATAATGGACAAGAGTAAAGAATAATAGGTAATATGCAAGAATCGACAAATTGTAAGAGTAAATGACGAGTAATCCCAAGAGCATGCAATCTCTTTATGTAGTAAGTCAGATGGAAAACCTTCTTCGATAACAATAAAACGTGAGAAGACCAAGAGAGATCAGAGGAAAAGGTGACGCCAATATAATTGACTTTCGACACTGTGTTTATCGAAGAGTCCCTAATGGCACAAGTATTATGGGATCTCAAAATGATGGAATAAACTTTCTTTTTTTATCAGGAAAAAGAAATAATCATTGACAACTACTATATTTTTATAGCCTTTATAGCCTAGTTTTTTTCTAGATTATGATTTTTTTTGTCGTTGTTGTTATGTAAACAATTTTTTAATTGATTTAGTAATAATGACCTGTAAAGCAAAAACAGCAAACAAATAAATAACCGATCGAATTTTACTGAATAATAAATTTTGGTTCTGTGAAGATCATATGCTTATTGATGTATTCAAGGATATTCTTATTTTTTGCCAGTAGGTCGTATTATCTGAATGTAAATTTGTCAATTGACAAACCGTTAAAAACTGGAGGACTAAGAAATAGATGTATCGTGCTTGCGCGAAAAACCAGTAGGTCCTGGGTTTGAATCCCGCGGGGTACGGGATCGTGGATGCGCACTGCCTAATCCCATACTAGGACGAAAAGGCCGTCCAGTGCTTCCAGGTTTTCCATGGTGATCTAGCTTCAATTGACTGATGATTTCAACCTGTGAAATATCGTTTTAGTTTGAAAAACATTTTAGTAAATACAATATCTGACTACGTATATTCAAATCTCATATAGGTTAGAAAAATCTGAGGATTTCTGGCATTATCATTTTCATTCAGTATCAATAGATAGAAAATTTACTAATACTGACTAGATTTATACTGTCCTTCAACTGAGAAATCATGAAGTTCAACAATTAGTGATTATATTATCACATTGTCAATAACTCAAAAGACTATGCTTTCACTGATAGTAATTTTCAGACTTCATCTGAAAAACAAATATTAACCAATGATCATTTGACGGTTATTTTGTAACAGTCTGCGACTTATCGAGCTGCTGTGTATATAATTCTAATACATTGCGACACGGATACAGGTTGCATATAATTTTCCTTACATTTAGTAACGCATTAACAGAATTCCAAAACTGCTTATCTTGTTAATCGACAAGGTAATTAATTTTTTTTTCATAGTGTTTTTCCTTTAATTATTTGTGAGTAACGGATATTACTGTTGATGATGTTGTGAAAAGGATGGACGCCTACCACCGAAAATCCATGAATTACAATTCCTAAAGAATTCTATGAACAGTAAGACCTCAGAAATTACAACAGCGGTTACTACTCAGTGATAATTCAGTTCAAATATCTTAGTTCTACAAACGTCGGAAAATTTTAAAGATAACGTTGGCTGAAACTTCAGTAGTGTATAAATTCTCTTAATCCTGGGAATTCATTTTGCTGGCTGGCACCAATCAGCACAAAATCTTGATCAAACAGGACTTCATGTCAATTGTCTCTAACAAAACACGATAGATATTTCATATAAATTTATATAATTTCTAAACTTGTGAAATATATATATAAGCATACAGAATAGAAGAATGCGATCATGCGTAAATCAACACAAGTAAACAACACTATATATAGACAACACTGTTATTACTTCCTGCCTGATTAAATGTAGAAATGTTAATTTTGTTATTATACTATTATAGGCAAGTAAATAATTTTGTCATTAATTATTAATAGAATAAAATAACGAGTTTAACCCTATATTCTACTCGTTGTTCAGTTCACAACTCATTTTTTATAACCACTTTGGAGTGTTTTTCTCGTAAGAAGTAGTCAGTTTTAAAGTACATACACATTACAGATTAAAATTAAAACAAACGATTGTGACCAAGGATGAATGTTGCCTAAGAGAAGAATGCAGAAAGTGCGTTTCGTCCTATTTAGGATTCATCAGTTGGATATACCTGCACCCGGGTTGATGTTCGCCTCGGGATTCGAACCCAGTACCTTTCGCCTCAAACACCATCGCGTTATCCACTTAACTACTGAGTCCTGATAGCTACCAACTTGTGCAATACAACAACAATACAAAATGAATTAAAACAAACAACTGTTTTAAAGTTCATTAATCTATCCATTTCGTGAAACAAAGCATATGTACGAATGGAGGTTTTTATGTTTTGGATTAGATCCATGATGAAAAATGTTATAGGACCGAAGTTACATTGGAATCATTTATAGGTCATTAATATTATGACGAAAAAAAGTCACAAGAAAAAGAAAACCCTTTCTTTTAATTCTACTACTTTTATCTTCAAAAAACTTAGTACTGCCGTCAGTAATAGTTAACTTGGTTAGTTTAAATAACGATATTTTAGCATGTTACTCATTAGTATCTTATGTCTAATGGATTATTTGATATTAATGCATGATTAATGACTTGGTTATGTTAGCGTATAATTCGCGGCGTAAGAGATGATACATAGAAAAATTATAGTCAGATGATAAATGATATAATCTTACTATTCAAAGTATTTATTCTTATTAAACAGAATTAAGTATTTATAAATACCTGGGTCAAACTCCCTTAATGACTCCTTGTAAGCCAGCTAAAAACAATCAAATTTAAACTACTAAAAATAATTTTCGAGTACCAAGGTTTCGAAAATACTTATTCTGTTGTTTAATTAAAATACTATTTAATTTCGTTCATTATCTTTTCATAAAAATTTCAGTGTAATATGTCTACTTCTAAGAGTACATTTAGTATATGGAACATGTGTTTATTGTGAGATTACAGTGCTTACATAATGAGTGTACATAGCCTTTGATTATTGGTTTGCATCTTGTTGTGTGTTCTGCAATTTAAACTGACTTTTAGTCCAATTTTTAAATGTTCTTCCTATACTGTGCTTTTGATATACTGAAACCAATCTTTCTGTCTGATGATTGTCAAAGCTTCGAGGTCACGGACCACTTTATACTACTTACAAGCAATCGTACAAGTAGGATTCACCCCGATAGTACTTCAGATGTTTTAAAGATAATATATATCAATTAACTATAAAATATTTATTAGTTGATGTACACGGAAAACTTTTGATATTTACAGCGTTTGAGATTGTGTGGTATGTCATGTTGCAATGGTTCTTACCCTAGTCGATACTACGATCAAACTACATATAATGATAATGTTTTTTGATTAAAATGTTAACAGTATAAAGCAACAGAACGAAGCTACATCATTTATTCTATGAATGGAATCTCGAAACTATTATATTAAAGAATAATATGCACTGTGTACTAGTTATGCAACATTACCATGAATATAAACGATTTGAATCAACGATAGGACAACCGATTGTCAAGAAATTAATTATTGAAAAAGGAACATGTCGTAATCTAAATGTTACACGATTTCAACACATGTTTTAAATTATCAATTGCTTAAGAGTCACTTGTTTAAACTAATTACGCAATGAAAAACTTAATTTATATCTTAAACTGTTAATTTTGGATGGGATAATCAGAATTCTTTGGTAAAATGTGAAAACCCCACATGAAATACTTCATTTGCGAATCTCTCATCAGCTGTATCTTATAAGCTTCATCGTTCTTTCAATGATATTACAACTACTATCTGTTTGCATTCTTGTTTTCTTCAATTCAATCTTCTCAGCTCTCTGCTATCATGCAGTCTGAATTCGACTGATGGCACATACTACTTATATCTGTCAACATAAGTAGCATACATAATTAAATAACAACTGATATTATATTTTCTCATCTAGGCGTCTTATTTAATGTCAAATTGTTAAATATAAATCTGCGATAGTCGGTTAAATGCTTAATAATATCATAATTAAATAAAGGCTGTCCTTTTGTAATGAATGATTTGGTGAGCTTTTTTTAACAAGCTAATATTCAATTTATTCACATTAGTAGACCTGTACTGATAAGTCAGCGGGCAAATAAAAACGTGACTTGAAAAAAAAAACACGATGTTTATCTGTGTAATCTAAGTTTGCGAAGATTTTTTTTTAACATGAAAGGATCCTGTTTTTTTTTGCAAATCTAAAACAGAATTGTTATTTTAAAGTAAATAAATACTAAAGAAACTGTCGCATACGTTTCCAGGAAAATCTTATTGATCAAACAATTGTAATACTAAGAAATATAAGTAAATGAGTAAAAGGTTACTTGAAGATCTTTGTAATAGTAGAATTATCAAATCAAACACCTGTCGACAAGCAAAGAAAGCTTTATATTCAATTCCTAATAGGATCATGGTCGTTGAGAACTTCATACCATAGTAAAGTAGTTGTTGATTACAACCTATTTTTCGAGATTTCTCTAACTAATATCAGTTGAAAATAACAATAATTCTGAGAATACACAAATTAATTTACTTTTTTATAACCGGAGGATGATTCTTGGTTTAATAATAACTTGAAGTTATTTGATACCTCTTACCGTGGATTAAT